GAAGAACTTCTTATGAAGTTGATGACCGCGAACTGACCGGCAACGGATAGTTTTTGTGGTCTGCTCATCTGAGCGGTTTTAAGCAAGCAAGCAAATGATGGAAAAAACTACAGAAGGAATCCAACGAAAACCTGTGAACAAAATTTTGGTAAAATCTTTGAAGCCCTCGGAGCGAATCATAAAAGCCATGTTTCGTATTTCTGGGCATTTCCAATCCTGTTGGTTCTTTTCATCACCTAAATATCCGAGTACTACTTTCAGGTTGCAAAATCTAAGTTTCTTTTTCTTCTTTCTCTACGCCTATGCAAAAAAAAGCCTTCCTAGTTGAATTAAAGCTTTCTCCCACTTCAAGCATTGTTAATGTCTTAGTATGATCAGGCACACCTACTACTGCTGAACCGAGGTTATCGCATTTTAAGCAGAAATAAGAAAGTTTACTTCATCATTAATCTGTTTCAACTTTTTTTGGAACAAAGTATAAGGAAAAGAGAATATTGAAAACAGTGTTGAATTAAGATAACAAGATATAAGACAATAGGAGTGAACTAGTGATTCGAAAGCCTTGACATCCTATTCTTCTATATGAAACAAGCTTATAATGCTAAAAAAAAGAATCCAGATAGAAGAAACAAGAGATTTCTTTAAAGATGGGAAACGTATGTTAGTTACAACCACAGTTTTTCGCAATCCATCACCGGATCTTGGGATGAAACATTCTTTCCATACATCAAACCAGATCAACAGTTTTGTTCGTAGTTATGCTACGATATGAAAAACCACAAGAGAAAGAGAAGTTGACAAGAATGTTTGAACTGAAGTGAGAGGATGGCCGTAGGTCAAAATATGACGCGTTGATAGGTCAAATTCAAAATACAAACTATTGACTTAACAAATTGACATTCCTATCTTTGATATTGTTTTTTTTTGAAGTTTTGTGAAACGCTCCGTTAACTTCAGTTATTTTATCATAAAGCTTCGTGAAAAATCGATTAGAGCACTGTATGCAAAACAAAACATTAAGAATCAAAACATAAAATGTTTATCAATTCTTATAGATACTTAAAATTGCGTTAAATGTGGGGATATAGCTCAGTGGTAGAGCGCTCCCTTAGCATGGGAGAGGGCTGGGGTTCAATTCCCCATATCTCCAGAACTTTTTGTTTAGAAAATGTTTACAAATATTGTTGGTCTAGCATTTCGAGAAGATTGCTGATTTTCAATGTTTATTGTTTCTCCCTAAACTGATAGTCTTCTTATACGGATAGTTTAGGAGGTATTCGGTATTTAACTGAATGAACCCTTTTCTTATTCGGAATAGGGAAGAAGTGACGGACGTTTATGTCCATTTATGGAATGAATTACAAAA